GTCGAAAGACTGACGACTTCTCCCTTCGTACGGGGGAGGAGCAGATTGGGCCAGAAATACGGGAGCGAATACACGTGCGCTACGTGCAGCGCCTGCTGCTCCCCCGGGTCCTAGAGGGCAAGGCTCCTCTTTCCCTCTTTCCCTACAGGTGGGTCTATATTCTATGAAAGGTGCTTTGGCCCATCCTTTTTTGGTTGGGTCAGTACCTGAGGATAGGGTCGGTATCAGTCACAGCACCTTGGTAATACATGGCCTATATTTTTTAAGGCGCTCCTGTTTTATCCCCGCCTTCGTACAACAGGAGACCACTGGTAGATGCTGATGAAGGAGGGGTTTGGATTTCGTTCACGGGTCTGGTTCTATCCTATGTAGGTTGTACTTCCCTTTGATAATCTGACATCAGAGAGGATTGTCCTTTTGTTCTACTAATCGTCTTCGAGTGGACCCAAATGACATCACCTCCATCGCCATCCATCCCGCCTTCACCATATTTTGCCAGTAACAGAAGAGTGGGGTGGGGTGGGATTATAGCAGCAAAAGAGCTTAGACGCCACGTACCACGCTAGTTAGTAAAGTGATTTGGACAAAGCCCCAGGCTCCTGAGTTATAGGGTCGGGAATCTTGTATTTAAGTATCCCGCACAATGTAGAATAGTACGGGATCCCTGAGCTTTGTGTGAAACTGAACCAGAGGCATAGTCGTTAGGGAGGGCAGAGAGTAAGGATTAAAAATGATTGCATGTCAAGTTTCGAAGGATTGCTGGGTGATATTGAGGGAGATGGTTTGGACTTTTGTTTATAAAGAAAACATCCCCTTACCCCCCCCCCGAAGTGCAAAACGATTAACGATTATTAACGCCAGAAGTCTTCATATAATTTAACAGCGGCGGGGAAGAGAACACAGGAAGAAACCTGTTTCTATAAAACTTTTTGGAAAAATTCCAAAATTCCAACCCTTCTTGAAGAATTCTGCTAATGAGTGAGGCTTAAACATCGATGGAATGAAGTAGGGAGAAAGAGACAATTCTTGACACGGTGAAAACATGAACCATTTTTGGAGAGCTAAAACTTGGTTAAAGAGAGTTTAGTCGGGGTTTAAGCGCACCCTGCATAATATGGAGTGTTCAAAGCTGTATTGATATTGTGAGAAGCCTCGCCAGAAGGAAAAGTATGTTAAAAAGCGCCAGCTCTCCGGTTAATTTTTCCGTCTAGGAACGGGGTAGATTTCACAGTGTGTCCTATTAATCGCTTCTCATAAATTAATTAGATTGAGATTTAATTGGGGTTGCCTTGTTTCCAGGTAAGCGGATGTTTACAGTCCCCGATGCTAAAGCTATAATCCTCCACATACATTTGCACATTTACTAGGAAATAAATATATCTTTCACCTTAGTAGAGGATCAAAGTAAACCCCTTTTAAATTGGAGTCGCAGCATCGGTTTTTAATAATTACTCGGATCGTCCTCTCCAATCACTAGTTTCCATTGTCCTGGAGACTCCAGTGATCTGCCTATGGCCCGTACTGAAGAGCTTCGATTCTTCTATGCGGGCTTGAAAGCCACACATAAGAGCAGCGCTCCAGTTTACACCCCCCTCCATGCAGTGATTTACACTGGAAAAGAAGGCTTCCCCACTGCACAGCACCAGGCGCAGACAATGAAACAGCTCAGCCTCCCTCCCCTTATGACGTCTCCCAAGCTTTTGGCCTATCCGAGAGAATAGAGAGGCTCTTTAAAAAAAGAAGTGCCGGCATTGAGATGGCTGTCAGCTGTGAAAGATCGCTCCGCACATGTAAACATAGATCATAAAGGCGAAGGTGGATTAGAGAGTAGAGACCTATGTGCTTGCGTTCTCTGCGTGCAACTCATTAGCTTAGGGGTCTCGAGTGATCTTCCGTTGGAGGAACTCGAGCATGGCAACAATCCCATAATAGGTTTCTGGAACAAAGACAAATCCCAAAGTTTTATATGGCAAGTAGGCCTATATGAGGAAATTACTTAAGTTTATAAGAAGCTTAAATCTAGATATTTTTGTTCAGAATAAAATAATCTTAATATATCTGTAATAAAATTGCCCTTCTTTTAGAAGTCACACACAGCTTTAGCATCTTTTTATAAAATTGCTGTATTCAATTTACTTCTGAAAAAAAACTAATAAATGGTTCTGCTTTGTGATAAAGTTCCATTTTTCTAAGGACATTTTCTCTCCTCCCCTTTAAAATAATATTGAAGCTTTTTTATGTGCACATTTGCCTCTCCTTCAATATTAGAATCTCAGCGTTCTTTTCAATCTAGAATCTTCAATCTAAATCTATGTTATTTTGCTTTGTACATTGTTTAAGAAGCCAAGGTTAAGACAAAATTGGTTTATTATAGTAGATTTCATGGGCCAACAAGTAAGGCATTAAGAAAATCTGCAAAGTAAAACAATTACCAGAATCACTGAACATGCATTATGCAGTATTTTCAAATCTTATTTGAAAATAAATATCACTGAATTCAGTAGACCTCATTGCCATACAAGCAGAAGCAAGTTGTTATAGTGAATTAATAAAAAGATAGATTAAAAACTACAATTATTGTAAGAAAATATGGTTTACCTTTTTTGGCCTCACTTCAATCTCCATTCTGAAACACAACTATAGACTATACAAAGAAATTAAGTTCCTTACTGTGATACTGTTCAAAGTATGAATGTAAAGAAAGCAGTTTTGAAAAGACTTGATAGTTGCATGTACTCTACCTTTTTGGAATACTTCTTTTTCATAATGCCAAATTTTCTTTAAAGAGTTACAAATACATCAATCCCATCCTTCTTTGTGTGCATTGTTCTGTTGCATCAGACATGTATCTTTTTACTAAAAGTTTTATTTACAAAAAAGATTTCACTAAAGTCCTACTTATGACCATCTGAAGCTTAAAACTTGATAAAAATTGCTTATCAGTTCAACAATAGCATAATAAAACAAATGTAGCTGTCTATGGCATTTCCTCATCTCAGGGCTGGTGGAGAGGAGGCAGATGAATTATTGTATTTGGACTGAATGATCAGAGGGGTGTGTGCACCAGAAATTTGCTTTTAAAGTGAAAACTATGAGATTTTGGCAGGCTTGTTTTCATGTGTCATGTTTTCTTATATCTAGAGAACCTCAGTAGCTCAAAGATACAAAATGGCCTTATTCAGACCAAAATAACTACTCAGATTAATTTTATAACTACTGGGGGGGGGGAGAAGAGGTAACAGGACAGGCATAAATTAAAGCTGCAGGTAAAGTATGGACTGAATCCGTTGTGCACATGGCTGCAAGAGTTTGTGCACCCAGGCCAAGCAAGACACACCCGTTTTCTTAAGCAATTTCAGTCACAGCAATTTAAGCCAAGGGCCTAATCTTCACAGTCCCATGCATCCTCGACTGGTGGTGTATATATTTATACCAACTAAAGTTAACTACATTTATTTAGTAGAAACTGGCTTGACTGAACCAGTTCGAACAATGGGGGGCCGCTCGTCATTGGGCCTTTAAACCCGGCCCTCGATTCCAATTCGTCGCCGTGGAAGCCACGGTACCGAAGCCGAGAGCTTTTCTTCGCCTCAATCTGCGATCCTTCGGGCCCAATAGGCCCTAAACTCCAGCCCAAGTAGCCGGAGGGGGAAGAGACCTTCTGCAAGTGGGAGCATAGTACAGCCCCATTTTCTGTTAACTGCTTTGGAAGAGTCTCGCAGCCCGTAATCCCGACCCACAAACAAAGGGGTGAGAAGGAGAAGGAGGGCTTGGCACCCCATGTGGCGAGAACGAACGCCAGCCCCTAAGAAAAAAGCGGCGTGTGTGTGTGGGGGGGGGGGGGTGTTACTTTTCATAGAGCGTCCTCATCCGCGGACTCTTTTTCCTCCTCCCTCCCTTTTGCGCGGAGGCACATCGTCCATTCTAGAGGTGTTCAGCGACGCTTTGGCTGTTGGGGGATTGTTCGGAACGGTTGCCCGAGTCGGAGGTGCTTGTCCTGCCGGCCATCTAGCTGGCCATGGCCGAGTTCCTGCCGCCGCCAGAGTGCCCTGTTTTCGAGCCCACCTGGGAAGAATTCGCGGACCCTTTCGGCTTTATCCACAAGATCCGGCCCATCGCCGAGCGGACCGGGATCTGCAAGGTGCGGCCACCACCGGTGAGTAAACCGCGGGAGAGGGTCGATCTCTTGCCTCCCCATCCCAACCAGGCATTGAAAGGGGTGTGTGTGTGTGTGTGGAAGCCGTACGTGAAAATAGGCTGGGGGGGTAACTCGTCCCCCGGACCACTCGCCCCCTTTCGACGCGCTCCTCCCGGGACCCCAAGTAGTTCCCGTCTTCCTAGGCTTTCGCTGAACTCGCTTGCCGGGCGTCCCCCTCCGTGCCTACTCCGAAACTTTCCCCCAACTCCCCTTCCTTCCTCCCTCCTCGCACGAAGCTTCCACTCCTGCCGTCGTCCCACGCCCGCGTCGCTACGTGGGGGGGTGGGGGGGGTGGAAGTGCGCCCTTCCTTCCCTAAGAGGGATTCCCGGCTATCCATCTGTTCAGGGTCGGTGGGGCTCGAGGCTTTCCTGCGTGGGGGGCTAGCGAGGAGGGGAGGAGGGAAACAACGGAGCGGGAGGGGGGGGAGCCACTTCCTCGCCTTGGCCATCCTAGGAGGTCCGGTGTCCTAAAAAGCTTTGTGTGCTTCAGGTGGGCTTGTTTTTGTAGCCCGGAACAGCTCCCCCCATCCTACCCCACCCGGCTGAGAGAGGAGAGAGAGAGAGAGGGGGGTGTCGCTTGGCCGACCTTGTAAGCAAAGCGGGTTTCGAGGCTCGGTTCCCCGTGGGAGACCCATAAATATGGCTGCCGGCGAGCTCCCCCATCGCTCTGGCTTCGGTCCCCGACTCCACTCGAGAAACTCTGCTCGCTCGCAATCCTCTGCCGTCCGAATAAAGTTCCTTTGCGAGGTCCAACCGACGATCTTGGAAGCACAACACACACAACACACAACACACAACACACACACACACAAAGCTTACTTTTGTAGCGTTTCTTCTCTCTCTTTCTCACTGGGCCCCCCACCCCCCGTTCTCACGCACGAAACAATTCTTAAGCTGCTGCGTTTTTAGATGAAAAGGAAGAAGTTATCTCGGGGTTGTTTTTGAAGGGCCTCCTCTGGATGACTTCTCCGAGGGTCGCTAGTGGGCCGTGCCTTTTAAAGAGCAGTTGAAGCTTTTGTTTCTACCCAAGAAGAACTAGCAACGGTAGGCATCATGGGTGCAGCAGCTTTCAGACATGTTTTCAACTTCATAAAGGGTTTTTAAAAACTTCCCTGCATGACTAGATTTATGTTTTCTTCTTGCAGGCAAGTAATGGAACATGTATGCTAGATGGTTTTTTTTTTTTTGTTTGAAACAAATGTGGAGTTCTACAAGGCAGTAGCCTCAGAAGAAATTGTATAGCTATAAAGAGACAGCCAGTTCATAAAGTTGGATATTTTGAAAGTAGTTTTGTGCCTAGTCAGGTACTTTGTCAAACAAAGTTTAAGCTGTGTCAAATTCTTAGAGTTACACTACTGCTTTCAATATAAATACTTAGAGCAATCATTGTGTAAAGACCTAAATGAGACAGCTGCTTGGGTGTTGCCCTCCATGTTGGCATTGTGGTTGAGCTAAAGCTGAAGATTTCCTTATTTCCCTCTTTTCTGTACCTATAAAAATAATTCTGTGGACATTCAGGACCCATCTGGCTTGATTTTAATAAAAGTATCCACAATTTAAAGTTGAAAATAAATATATTGCATTGGAGTTTGGAGAAATCTTTTCTTTTAGAATCCTAGGCAGACATGGCCACCATTTTAGAATGCAATACATAGTGGGAAGGGTGATAAGTCTCCATCATTAAAAATATTATCAGGCACTACAGCAGGCTGCAAGAGGGTAGTTTTGAGTAAAACAGCTGTTAATTATTTTTTTATTGTTACTGGCTGTGACTTTATTACTATAGTTACTTTAATTTGGTGAAAAAGATTAAATATGGATCAGAAGGAAGTATCTGAAAAATCACATGTTTGGTTCTTAAAAGGAGAGTTACCTATTCCTTCCACCAAAAATATCTTCATTTACAAGACCAAATGGCCTCAGGCAGCATTCATTATAGTGAGGGGTCCTTAACAGCATTTAATTTGGAAACTAAGACGTTTGATTGTTAGAAGTTCTATTAAAATTTATCTATGTTCTGTTTTGGATACATTTGAAAATAACTTTTAGTTTTAATTACTGTTGTCAACATAACTGGAGAAAGTGGTATGTAGGACTTCTGCTAATTAAAAAATACTCATCTTTGTTCCAGTCAGTGATCCACTTATTTCAATAGTTTATTTAGAAGTAGTACTCAGTGGGATAGCACTTACATGTTATACAGTTTCTGATTTAAAAAAATATATGAAATATATATTTTGTAGATTCTCTAAATTATTTTTTTCCATATTTAAATTTGTTATTAAATCAGACAAAATTTCTATATTTAAGATTGTCATGCAAGCCTTTATTATATTTTACAATCACTTTAAATTCTGGTGTTTGGGGGCAGCTTTGTACATGTTTGTGAGATACAGTTCAAAAACTGGGATGACCAAATGGCTGTTGAATTACTGTTACCTGGGAGTTTTGTCAATTAAGGCCAGGTTTTTAAAATAAAATCTAGTCTATTTTAGAAAAAGAACTGAAAATAAGTGAGATGCTTATTGTTTCATTTAATTGGTGCATATTGTGGGGGAAAAAAACTAATTTGTTTTGTTAAGGTATTTTTCAAGAAAAATACTATTTTCCATGCCTGGTCTCTGAATTTGTTATCTCACACTGTCAGAGAACATGTGTTCCACATTGAAACTCTTTTTGTAAGTAATACCACTTTTATAATAAAGCCTAGTTGTGTATAATAGAGGTCATATTGGACAACACATCTGATTTATAGATCAGTATATGGAATATAAGGTGTACCATGATTACACAGCCATGTCTGCTTTGATGCATTTATTGCTGATACTTAAAATAAACAAACTCCATATTTTTTCTGGACTTGGCAGTCAATTGTTCTAGAAAGTGAGTATATCATTTTGAAGAGGCACACTACCCATATGTGCATAAATAGCTTTCATTTTCCATAATGCGTGGAAAAGTCTAAAATTATGTTTATCTGGCCTGAATGTTTGTGTGGATCTCTCTTCTTGACTGTTATTTTTAAATAATATAAGCTAATGGAAAAATGTAAAGTATGCTGACATAAATTAAATGTAATTTTCCTGCAGACTAAGAAGAAAACCTATCCAGCAAGGTGGCGTATGTTCCTATGATGTGGAAAATGTGCCCATGGATTTTTGTGAATCCAGATAATGACTCAGTATTTCAATCTGGTCCATTTGTTGTTTAAAATAATCTAGTTTCTGTTTCTCACCTTGTTATTGAAAACAATTTTTGTAACAATTTAAATTCTTGATGTTAGAGGCTATAACCCCAAATGCCACATTATTTAATGATATCAGTAAAGTTAGCTGCTCCTAACTCTCACAGGATTTGTATGATTATACAAACTTTAGATTTGTTGAAATAATTGTAAGTACATTGATTTAAGTAAATGTTTATATATTGGATAGCATATGTACATTTAATAAATATTTATGTACTAGTATGGACTTATGTAAAGCACTGAACCTGCTGCAGAATGCAAGTTTTTAGAGAAATATCTCATCTAAAATGTTCAGGGAAAATGGTCCCTTTATTATCATGAACAGTATATACATTCATTGGCAGAAAATACCCCTTTCTGGCTAAGAAGTAGATATCATTCAAAACTGGGAATTCTTTTCTACCTTCTGCTTTTAAAATTAACGAAGTTCTCATTTGTAGTATTAGACCTTTATCATTCATGTTCACTTAGAGGTTATTTTAGAGATTAAAATATTGAACATTATACATTTAGACATACTTGGAGCTATTTTATTTTAATATTTATATTTATTAGAACTGCAATTCATTTTTCAAAATGCTAGACAACAAAGTTTTCAAAATAAAAATCTCAAAACAAATATGTTGCACTTCATAAACTGTGTGTCTGTGCACTAGAGCACTAAATTATATTCCTGAAACGAGATTTTCAGTTATAACAATTGATTACAAACCCTATTTTATTGAGTCCTTTGTTAAATTATTTTCCTATGTTTCTTGATTTTTCATGATATCTGTCTCCCATATTTCTACTTAGGACAGGTTTCCATATGTTGCCTTTTAGATATGTGGCTTTCAATTCCCGGAATTTCCTAACATAGTCTTTGGTGAATATTCTGAGAATTAGAAATTTAAATTATTACATTATTTTTTGTGTTTAAATAGAATACTTCCTCATCTACATTGTACTATTCAGTTAGTCAAATTGTGATTAATCAAGATCTAAATCTTGAATTAAAGCAGCTGTAGCAAGCTTGGGAATCAAGTAATTCTAGTTAGCTGTAACCAATTATGTTCTGATGACATGGCAAAAAAAAAAATAGTAAAGGCTGTTTAGTGGAGTTATTTGCACCGTATTTGATCTTCTGATTTAAGCAGAATTGATAGAAAAGTTAGAGTTTTTTTCTGAGTATGAATAGATCAAATTTAAACAATCTAGTCATAATTAACATAAAATCCATTTCCAAAAGTGGAAAATCTATCATACTTTATATTACTAATCCAGAACTCCATCTAAAGAACTGCTTTTTGCTGGCTTCTGCATCATAAATGCCAGCTAATTAAAGAGCAGTTAGTTAAATGGGAGGGATGATGGTTTCTATAGAATTCTGCCCAGGTGGTAAATGAATCTTCACTTCCAATCTTGAAACGTTTTACAATTCTTATGAAATAAATTAAATTGGGAAACACTTTGTGAACCACTTAATGTGTTAAATGTTGCTTTAGATGTGTTACCCTTTATCCTCTTAATATTTAGAAAATATGGTGGTGAATTTTAGTATGTGCTGACCCAGATGTTTTTCTCTGATGTTTTGAGAGTTACTTCTCTCATAATTGTATTATTGTTTACCTCAGTTCACCTTCAAGCTCATTTTTGCTATAGTTTTCTATACATTGTTGAACAGTTTTATAGCTCATGAAATGTGAATTACCGTAATTGCTCACTGTCAAGATTTGTATTTCCTAATATTAAAAAAACCAATTATTTCTCATTGAATTTACATGACACCTAATTTCAGAAGTGATAGCTTATTTCATTTATCATTACATCTATTTTCTTCACTATGAAAGAGATGGCAAATTTCCTATTGCAAGTTAAGTCCAGAAGTTGTCACTGAAAACACCAGGTCCAGATTATAAATCATGAAGTGACAAAATATTATTCTTAGATTATGGTTGAAAAAAATATCAAGAAACCATAGTTGCTGATAGGGTAATTAAAGCTTTAAATTTCTCTTTGGTGTGAAGAAAAGGGAAGTGCATAAACCCAGGCATATGCCACCTAATTCATGTAATAATCTATAATGGATCTGAACCAGGGCAATCTGAATTGCCCTGGTTCTATCCCATCTGCTGACAAGTACATGAATCTTGCTTCATAGCTGAATCAGTCTCAATATCATTTGCCTCACTGTATTTTATTAGTCTTAAAATATTAAAACATTTTAATCTTTATAATATTAAAATTCTTAAAAGAATAATCTTTGTTTCTTGATATGACAACACGTTGCTTACCATCTTTTTAAGGAAATGAAATCTAGATAAATCTAGATAAACTGACCAAAACACTTGTAAAAGATAGTCTAGTGTTATCATTAAAAGCAGGGTAAGCATCTGATTGGACGCGGTGGCACAGTGGCTAAGACGCTGAGCTTGTCGATCAAAAGATCAGCAATTCAGCGGTTCGAATCCCTAGTGCTGCGTAACAGGGTGAGCTCCTGTTACTTGTTCCAGCTTCTGCCAACCTAGCAGATCGAAAGCAGGAAAAAAATGCAAGTAGAAAAATAGGGACCACCTTTGGTGGGAAGGTATCAGTGTTCCGTGCGCCTGTGGCGTTTAGTCATGCTGGCCACATGATCATGGAGACATCTTTGGACAGCGCTGGGTCTTCAGCTTTGAAATGGAGATGAGCACTGGCCCCTAGAGTCAGGAACGACTAGCACATATGTGCAAGCATCTGATTCTATGGTGATCTGCATTGTAGTTTCCATTATTCCTGGAGCAGGGTTTACAATACAATGCTGCTTTCATCAATCTGCTCTCCTTCATTCCCAGTGGATGGCTATGGATCCAGTCATTCCATTATTACTTGATTAAAAATCCATTCTCATTTCTATTCCAGATCCCCTTCCTAACTACCATTTCTCTCAGTGACCTGGATTTGATTGTTTGATTCCTCAAGAAAATCTGTAATTCCTGCTAAAGAGATTGTTACACCATTATGTCTCTCATTTATTCAAAGTCCTTTAAACAAATATCCTATTTGCAGTTCTGGTGAAGCCATATATAGACTGTATGATGGTTTGGATCTGATCTGTAAACTTTTCTGTACAATTTATTCAGAGGTAATATTTTTCCTTCTTTTCAGCAATGTAGAAGATAATTTTGCAGACTGACAATTCTTGAAAGTTTTATCTCTGATTATATTAATGCTCTTAGCTTGCCTTTCCATTACAGTACTGAGAAGACTTCATAGTTTTTATGTATTGCTTCATCTACATCATATTAAAGTTTGGAAGTCCAGTATTTCCTGAAGGAAAATATATTATTGTCTTTCATAATATAAGATTACATGTTCTACTATTGCCTTTAACAGATATAAACCAACCTGATGCTTTTTGTGAATTAAGACATGTGGAGGCATGCCTATTTTATGAAGTAGAGAGCATCTAGTGAAGGCATCTAGAGCTGTGAGGACAGCCTGGAGTCATGCGTTGCATACATTAAGAAACTTGGTATACATATAAACCTTAAAATCCAAGGATAGAAAAATAAATATTAATCAATAAATACAGTACAACCTGTGATATTGTACTGTATTGGATTTAGCATTATTACATAATGAACCATGTTAGTTTTTTTGTATGCAAAGCAACAAATAATTTAATACTTAAGTTAGTGAATGTTTATAATGATTTACCAGTAGTGAAGCAAGCTATTTTTTCAGAAAAAGGTTACTGCTATATCCTGATTATATCAATCTCTAATGATCTGTATGAATGATCAATAAAAGAAATAAATACAGAACAAATAACTATTTTAAAAAGTTGGCAAAATGTTTTTCCAGGAAAAGAACTGATCAGAAGGTTTTTAAATCTTTAGCAAAGTAACCTACGTAAGTAATGCATTAGATGTACAGGGAGTTATTGACTTATAACCATAATGGAGTCTGCCCATTAAGGTTATAAGTTGTAATGGTTATAAAGCAGGGCATCATATGACTGACCTAATTTTATGGCATTATTTGCCATAAAACCCCCAGTCCCTAAGCAAATCCATTGATTGCGTTGAACGGTTTTGCTGAAATACATAAATAAACTCCAGTTTTTGGCAAAAACAAAAAATGCAGTCATATGACCTTGGGATGCTGCAAAGGCCATAAATTTCAGCTGGCTGCAGAGCACTCAAAATGTGGTTAGGTGATGGGAGGCAGTCATCAAAACTTTGGAACCAGGTCATTAGTATCTTGTGGGGGAATCTGTCATACTTTGAATGATTGATAACAACTGGTCATAAGTCAAGGACTATATGTGTACTGTTTGCAGTTGGACTGTAAAATTGAAGACCTTACTTTGTGCAAGTTTCAGAAATAAGATATTAATAGGATATAAACATAGAAGTAGATAATAGATTGACCATATACTGTATCAGGGAACATTTTCTTAACAGATTACAAAATCCTATTTTGCTAAGATCATATTTATGGTTATATTCTTAGAGAAAAAAGATGAGAATAATATTTCAAAGGGACATATAACATGGTGGAGGAACAATAGGCTTTTCAATCATTGGAGGTTTTTTTTTTTTTAATATAACAATAATAGAAAGATGAACTTGGTAGAGAAAACTAGGATTCATTGCATAAATTCTTCCTTGCTGATATATTTTCTGAGTGTTTTTCTTTTCAGATCAACTTCTGAAACCAAAAATGAATCCAAATGGGAAGGAAGGAAATGGTCTTGTGGGAGGCATTACTAGGAAAAATGGGCAGGCACACAATATTTTAATTTTTCTTCCTTTTTGTATGCTGATTTTGTACAGCTCCAGTCTTATTTTTGGCATTTTGTTCTTCCCCAAATCTATAAGATTGGGACCACATTTTTGCTGGAAACAGATTTGAAGAATATTCATATATCATATAACTGGCAGATGTTGGATTGCTTATTCTATGCTATGAGGCATTTTTTAATCTGCTTTGATAGATATTTATACTGTACATTGTCTGTAGAGCGATGCAGGTTTTCAAGGGGGTGTTTGGCTTCAATGAAGGCTTGAAGCTATTTTGTAAAGCAAGGTGACCCTCTCATTTTTAACACCAAAATAGCTATGTTGCTTTGTTTTGCTTTGAGAATTTTCCAGAAGTTCTAGTAACTCGGTGTTCCCCAACCTTTCTGTTCGTTGGACTGGCAGAGGTGGCAGCAAGGGGGGATAGTTTTGCACTCACACCCACCGCCCACTTGCACAGCCCGGTTCCAAATGGGCTGCGGCCTGGCATCAGGCTACGGATCAGAGATTGGGGATCCCTGTAGTAACTGGAAGACTCTTCTGCACATGTGTAGAAGCCTTTCCATTGTTACAAGAAAGCTACTAAAAGCATTCTTCAGTCATTGAAATTATGATTAAAATTTTAAGAAGCTATGAAACAACTAACCAATAGCAAATTGCATTATGTTTTGGTCTCAAGAAGGAGTGTCTCATTACCTGTGCTGTATAGACAACTTTGTAAAGGTAAAGCCTCATATGGAGGTAACAATGTATTCTGTGCCTTGTAGTTTAGCTAGTGGTAGCAAGGCAGGGATCCAAAGTTATTGTGACTGTGATGGAGCATATTCCATATTCTGTTGTTCCGCTAATTGTTGTATGCTAAATAAGTATAAATAGCAAACTGTCATGAAAAAAAATCAAAATAGCAATATGTATGGATTAAAATCTGAATGACTCAGTTTCTAACCCCCTGCCAGCAATGAATCTTAATACATAAAAATATGCCTATCATTTTCTCTCATTCTCAGTCACTTAACTATGCTGATGGGATAAGGATTGAAATATAACTATTTAATTGTATACAATTGACCTGTATTGAGAGAATACAGTCTTTTGAAAATTCATGTGGAATAAATTTCAGTAGTACATAGGTGATTTTTTTTTTTTGGCCATATAAAGAAGTTTATTTATTTATTAGTCCAGTTGAGCCCTGCTCCCTGGAAAAAGGTCTCCCACAAGATCCAGAGGGTCTCCACTCTGTTGCTATTTAGAAGAGCTGTGAAGGACTGGCTCTTCACCCAGGTCTTTGGCAAGGAAGAATGAGACCCCTCCATCATGCTTGCTATATTTTATATTTTATTGATTTTATTGTAATTTGATTGTAAGTTGGATGGAATACTGCTTTAATAAAAAATATTGTCATCCATCTGTGTAAGAAATATTGGTCAAGTAACAAAATAAAAACAAGGTATTACAGTAAAACAAAGAAATCAAATAAAGCTATATCAAGGCTCAATACAGGTAGTCCTTGACTTTTTATGGTATTTGCAGTGTGGTCACATGACTGATTTATGAAATTTTGCTGAAAACTGGCATTTACTTCAGTTTTTGACAAAAAATACTGATAGTGAGCGAATAAAGGGGAGAGATTTTTTTTATCCTGCCTTTGCTATTTCTATGAATAACTTAAAAGTGGTGAACATATCAAATATTCCTCCCTCCTCTATTTTTCCCACAATAACAACCGTGTGAGGTGAGTTGGACTAAGAGAGAATGACTGGCCGAAAGTCACCCAGCCTTAGGCATGCCTAAGACCGAACTAGAACTCAGTCTCCTGGTTTCTAGCTTGATGCCTTAACACTAAACCAAACTGACTCTTATTTAACGACCACAGCATTTGCTGACTGATCACTGCAGAAAAAAGTCATAAAATTGTGTTTGTCACATGATGACCTGCTTTATAACCATTGCAGTTTACTACCATAATTGGCAAGGCTCCATGACAGTTATAAG